GGACACTACACCCTGACTGCACTGTAACAGCTTGTAGTATAAACAGTATAACGAATCTTTGACTTCTGTGTTAGTAAGATGCAAGAGCTCTTCAGACTGCATGCTCATAAGAGTACAATACAAACCAGTATGTTCACTTAATAATTGCAGTTTGGGGTTTTTTTGGAAGAACATTTCTAACAATGCTGGTAATAATACCCATTTTCCATTTCCTTTCAGTATACTATGCACTATTATTTATTTTTATATATATATATGTAGCATTTTAGTCTGAGTACCAGTTCAGTGTTGTAATCGTAAGTCTCAACAGGAGCTTGGTTTTAAAACAGAGGACCTCTCAACAATTTATTCTACATTACAAAAATGTATCATGATCATTAATTTCTGGTCAGTAGGAGGGGAAGTAAAGTAATTTTAAGCATTGAACTACTGAACAAACAGCATAATGAGCATACCTTCATTACTTGCAAAGTCTTCATGTAAAATAGGAAGATCAAGTCTAATCCGCTTTAGGCAGGTCTGCAAATGAGAGATTAAAATACTGATGTATCATCTGTAACAAATTCTTTTGCGCAACATTGCTACGTTTTTAATACTACTCCAAAATTTCTCTTTACACTTTATTACTCTGAAAAAGAAAATATTCCTTTTACTACATGTCTGTTTGACCCACAACTTTTAATGTTGTGGATCGTTTTCCTAGTCCTTCATCTATCACCTAGCCAGATGAAGCAGCATTCTTCATAAGCCTTCTTCTGCAGGTTCAAACGTTAAAAAACAAACAAACAAAACCCCAAAAACCAACCAGTTCCAGCACTCTTAAGCAAATTACTTTGGTTAAAGACGTCCTGAAAAAGTTGAAGCCAATTCTCCAAAGTACTAATTCAAATAAAGGAAGGTTATATCTAAATGTAAACTTGAATACTTCAAATACTGGAAAGAGTTTTTTTTAAAAAGAGAGAAATTAATTTAAATAACATTATACTCCTTTGCAGTATGCACAACTTAAGTCTTCTTTTGTTGCAAAATTACTCTTCTAAACCTACCTCTTACACTATTCAGTGCTGCATGAAAAGAAACTGACAAGAACAATACGTACCTGAACTTCCTTTTTGTTTCCCAAAGACTCGACTCTGTCAATAAAATCCTCAAATTGCAATTTTGGAAATAGTCTATGAGCCCAGTGCTCCATATGTCGTATAAGTGTCTTCAGGTCTTCTGCCTAGAACATAAAACAAGATAATGCAGCTAGCAGAAGTTGACTAAGTCAACAGACTGCAGAGGGAAACATCACAGTAACATTTCTGAAAATATTAAGCATCTGCAGCTTGAAAGTTGCTTGCAAATTTAAGTAACATGAATGTGTGAGTAGCCTTTCCTCCCACGATCAAGTCTGTAAGTGCAATTTCAAGCTATCAGAAGAATAGTGATTCTAGTTTGGGAAAAGCATTTGCATATACTGTAAAACATCTAACAGGCTTCTGAGAAGTTGCCCTTAAGCAACCTAGGTCTGAACCCAGACTGAAAAAAAAAAAAAAAATCCGTAGGGGCACAGCTAGCATTTATTTTGATGTTTAGAACACACAGAAAAATGTCCATCTAAATAACCTTATCTAATAAAGATTTTAGCCCAGATCAGCAGTATTGCCTAGTTCTCCAGTTACAACTGCCTCCAGTTGTAACGAGAAAATTTATACCATGAATGTTCTCTGTAAACCAGAGATGCGAAGGCATCCATGCAAGCGTGCCAATAGTCTAATGATATTTAAAGAAAAATAAGATTTCTATGTTTAAGTGTATCCAAGACAATGAGACACTTTGTAGAGAAAATACTGCTTTCTCCTTGCTTAAGTGGTATGTCACACTGTTTTCAATATTAAAAACTTCGGGACAGAGGCATCACAAAAGCCAGAAGATTTTCACTAACAAAGGAAACTGATCATGAAGTGAGATGGTAAAGATGTAGTACGCACTTATAAGCCTGTTCCAATATAAAAAAAACCCTTTCTATGGACAATATAAAGAGTCACAGACATGATATTCTAGTTTTGAAGTAGAGGCAAAAAGTTTTAAGATCAAACATGGATTTTGTTGAAACATTTGTATTTGTGTTTTGGTGTTTTTTTTTAAATTTGCAACTACAAACCCCATCAGGGTATGTTCAAATACTGTTAGAAAGCTGGCTAACCAGAGTGTAGTATCAATTCTCCCCATATCAGATGGGCAGCAATCTATCAAGTCTAGATTAATCTCCCAGGAAACAAAACAAAAGCTCACTATGTCTTACCTCGTGCCCCTTACCCTTGAACTTCACGTTGTCAAACATGTGTCTCAGGGCTGGAAGTCCTCTTTCTGAGATTAACCTGTGAATAGAAAATGGGTGAAGTTATTTGAAACCCAGACTTTCTTTTTCTAATTAAAAAACAGACAAACAACAAAACAAAAAAACCCACAAACCACACAAACAACCTCACATTCCTTTAAATAGCCAAAAGCTACAGAGCTCTATTTGAAAAATGTACAGAATTAGAAGTCGTTAAGAAAAAGCACAAAATAGGATAGAGACTCTGTAAGACCAAAGACTTATTTGGAAAATTCACCATACATACATTCCTAGTCCAAGGAGCTTTTTTATTTTGATCACATGGAATGTCAGTTCTTTTATCTATACTGGCCAAGTAAAAGCAGTTAGATGCATGACCAGAGCATCCACCTGTGGTATCACTAGCTTCATCAGTATATTTAAAATGGAAGAAACTGAAAGCTCAGATTCTTTCCATTGCTTATAAAGAACTTACACCAGTTTTAGTGATAACAGCAAAGAAAATATTAAAATCCTTTATCTTTATACTGAGTTTATCCAGCTTGTACGTCAGGTGTAAGTGTACTTTCAGTAGTACCTTACAGTCACCATTACATTGAGGTTTTATTTTGAAGCATGCTTTTATTAAAGAAAGAAATCTACAGTACTATGTCTGAAGCAAAATAAAGGTTCAGCTGGAAGAGTCCTATTTATGAATAATAAACATATCTTAAATTATTAGTCATGTATTAAGTCCCAAAGAGACTTCAAGAAAGTTAGGCTACTTGTTAGATTACCTGTGTAATAACATTACACAGGCAAGCAAGGAATAAAAGGGTTGAGATACAGCATGCAAGAGGCACTTTCATCTCCAAAACTCTTGATCTTTGACTTGGCTACGAGCAAGCAGGGATCACAGTAACCTTAACCATTCCCCCACAGCCATATACCAAATTCATCACAGAAATAAATATTCTGTAAAAAATTACCTCTGGGCATCTAGTTTAGGCATTGGTCTTTTAACTGCTTTCCGTGTAGCTACGGCAGAGTCCTTTGTTTGTGACTGCTGGTTTCCATCTGGTTCCAATAAAGAAAATAACATACTTCAGGTATATAATGCAATTGACATCAACTAGAATTACATCATGTAAATTTTAAGTTTCTACCCTATCAAAAAGGCAACAGTCACAAGTATTCCATTGCAGGTATAGTACTCCAAACAAATGTCTGCATATTTCACCTTGCTTCTCCCACAAGACAGATTGGAAATAAATCCGTCTCTTCAAAATATACTGAGAAATCAACTTTTCTGGCAAAGTAGGTTCCTTGAAAGGGAAATTTCCTAATTTTAGAACTTTTACATTGTATTTCTGATGAGAAATGTACTGAGAGTAGATGCTGCTTCTAAATATTAAGAAACTCAAATTATCAATAAACATTATTTGATAGGTGTGTCCCAAAATTTCCACTGATAGATTTGAAAGACAGACCTAAACCACCAGCATTGCCTTCAAAAAAACAGAGGAAGAGGCTATGTGTGACCACAATCAATGTGTCTTTTAAGAACCAAAGTCAATATACTTTTTGATTAGGGCCAGTATATATTATTTGACTGCAACAGACAAGGCACCACTGCCCATCTCATCTCAGAGTTAGCAATTAGTTATCATACTGATTTCTTGGTTTACTTCTTGTCACTTTGAACATCAGGAATTCGGAAGTTCTCCTTTTCACATAGCAAGGAATTAAATCTATCCAAAATCCTATTTTCTAGTGAACAGACAGAGCAGGAATCAAGGAAAAAATGTTTAACACTATAGGCAAATATGAGTAGAAGTGAACAATAGTTAAAATTAAATCTTTATACTTTCTATTAGCTTGTTCAGTACACAGTAAGATCTTTTCAAATACAAATAATTAAGTTTTACTGTCCTGAAGCGTCTTGGATTTTTCCTAGATCATATGCTCTTCAAAATCTATCAACATCTCCCTGGAATACTACATTCAACACTCTTTACCTCTTCTGAAATCCAAGTCATAAAGGGTAACTATAGATCATCGGTGTATAATTATATTTACCAACATTTTGTCAGAAGAGTTTGAATTTTATAAAGATTCATTTGTGTACATATTTTCATGGAATCTACAAAAATAAACTTTTCCTACAAGCTCGAAAGCACAGAATCAATAACAATTTAAGTTTACGAATTGCTTTCTTATCTACACAAGCCTATTTTTATGTAGTAAACTCAAGGCAGTGAAGTACAACACTAATAATATTGATTTCACAGCATTTCATTGTCTGTACTGCAAAATGGGATCTTTAGGGGTCACAGGTGTTCACCTCCATTAGCTCGAGCCCATTCAACGTCGTCTCTTCCTGGAGAGGCAGGAGGTGGAAGAGGTGGGAACGTTTCATCTTCTGTATTCTCATAATCAGGAAGATCAAACAAGTTGTTCTCTAAAGGATCTATCATTGCCACAGATAAACTTTTTTCCCCTCCTGCAGGAAATACCAAATGCGTTTAAAGAGAAGCAGTGAGAAGAAGAGGCTGCTCTGGAAGCAGCTAAACATCAGTTATATACAGTATGTCTACAGCTTTTCCAGAAAAAATCTACCAACCAGAAAAAATAGCATCATACAAATTAAGCCGCAGATACCATACAGACAGATTACACAATCCAGCCTCACTATGCCAAACAAAATAAGGGTTTGTCATGTTTCAACTCAAAGTTACCTGTGAGTGGCAGGTACGGGTCATAGGAATACAACAAAATAAATGGATTTCTAACCAAAGCACTTATCAAGACAGCTGTTTTCCACTCACATCCTTGATTATTAAAGACTACGGGGGGTGGAGTGATAATTCCTCTGATTTACAGCTTACCCACTTAGAAACAGCAGTCTGGAGGAGGATTCCCCCTTTTCCGGCTCCTTAAGCAAACTTAATTCCAGAGACTTTAACACATCAGCACAACCGCGTTTAGGATGACCCGGTCTCACCACGGCTGCGTTCCCAAGGCTTCAGGAAAAGCTCTTTTTTTAAGGGAAAGTTGTCTGTCAGACGGTTTTAGTCACGAGAGGACACCCCAGGCAGCTCTGTCTACACTGACCTTCGGAGGTGAACTCCCTACCTCCGGGCTGCGAGACTCTCACGGAGCCGGAGGCTGAGGGAGTTCAGAGAGGGCAGTGAAGGAGCTCGCTAGGGTCTCCAGGGCCAGACCTCCAGAGCTACAACCTGCCGTGCGCCACGGAGGCCCCGCTCCCCTCACACCGCCAGAGCAGCCCCGAGGCGCGCAGGCACCGAGGGGGGCTCTCCCCCTCCCACCGGCAGAAAGCGGGGTGAAGAGGGCTTCTCACCTGCCTTCTCAGGGCAGACAGGTCGACGCCGCCTACCGCGCGCACCCAAGCGAGCGCCGTCCCAGCCTCCCCGCGCCGCCTCCGCTTCCTGCCCCG